CCAGTTCCGTCATTTCGATAGGATCATGGCTGATCAGATATTCCTCATGTCCACTTTCGTGCCTTTTCCCTGTAACCCTGATTTCTCTGATCATGAAATAATCTATCTCAGCCTTACATATACACAAGGACTCTGCCTCCACTGCTCTCTGCAGCAACAAGATCCAAAGCCTTACAACCCTCTGAGGAAGAAATTCCTCCTCAAATCGGCACCCTTTATTCTGAGACTGTATCCTCTGGTCCTAGACCCTCCCATGAGGGGAAACATCCTCTCAGCATGTTTCAATGAGATCACCTCTCATTCTTCTAAACTCCAATGACTTTTAGCCTTTGCTCATCAGATAACTCCTCCATACCAGGGACCATCCCAGTGAACTTTCTCTGAACTGCCTCCAGTGAAATAATAGCTTTTCTTCAACAAGGGGATCAAAACTGCTCTGTGCTCCAGATGTGGTCTCACCAGCACCTTGTACAGTTGCAGTCAGACTTCCCTACTCTTTTACTCCAAACCCCTTGAAATAAGAGCTAACATTCTATTAGCCTTCCTGATTATCTGCTGCATTGTGCACTAGCTTTCTGTGTTTCGTGCATAAGTGCCCCCAAGTCCCTTTGTGTTACAGCTTTCTGTAGTTTCTCTCCATTTAAATAATATTCTGTTCTTTTGTTCTCTTTTCCAATATGAACTTCACATTTTTCCACATTATAATTCATTTGCCAACTTTTTACCCACTTAACTCATCAATATCTTTCTGCAAACTGCTTGCATATGTGTTGGAACAGGTTTTTTTCACATTTTTGTCATCTGTAGATTTGGCTGCAGTATATTCGCTTCCTTCCTCCAAGTCCTTAATATATATTGTAAACAGTTGTAGTCCCAGCACTGATCCCTGTGGAACCTCACTGGTCACAGGTCGTCAACTGAAAATGAACCCCTCATTCCCACTCACTGATTTCTGCTCACTGGCCAATTCCCTTCCATGCCAACATGCTACCTCCAAAACTGTGGGCTCTTGTCTTATGACTTCATCTTTTATACTTTTACAAATGCCTTCTCAAAGTCCAAATACAAACATCTACTGGTTCCCCTCTACCCACACTGGTTGAGACTTCCTCAAAAAAATCTAATAAATTAGTCAGAAATGAGTTCCTTTTTATAAAACTATGCTGACTCTGTTTGCTTCAATTATAACAAAAGAGAAGTACAGCACAGGAACAGGCCCTTCGGCCCTCCAAGCCTGTGCCGAACATCATGCCCTGACTAAACTAAAAAAACAAACCTTTTGCCCTTATTCGGTCCATACTCCTCCATTCCCCCCTTATTCATGTAGCCATCCAGGTGCCTCTTAAATGTCGCCAACGTGCCTGTTTCCACCACCTCCTCTGGCAGTGCATTCCAGGCTCCTACCACTCTGTGTGAAAAACTTGCCCCCTCTCACCCTGAACCTGTGCCCCCCACTGTAATTGAAACTTCAATCCTGAGAAAAAGCCTCTGACTATCCACCCTACCTATGCCTCTCTTAATTTTGTAGACCTCTATCTGGTCTCATCGCAGCTGCCGTCTTTCCAGTGACCCTTTCCTCATAGCCAATGCCCTTGAGATTGGACAACAATCTGGTGAACCTTCTCTGCACTGTCTCCAAAGCTTCCACGTCCTTCCGGTAATGTGGCAACCAAAACTGCACAAAATACTCAAAATGCAGCCTAACAAAGGTTTAATGAAGCTATAACATGATTTGCCAACTCTTGTACTCCATGTTCCGGCTGATGAAGGCAAGCATGCCATATGCCTTCTTAATCACTTTGGTCACCTGTGTTGTGTTGCCATTTTTAGAGAACTGTGGACCTGCACGCCCAGATCTGTCTGTATGGTAATGTTCCAAAGGGTTCTGCCATTTACAGTATAATTTGCACTGGAATTTAGTCTTCCCAAATGCATCACCTTGCATTCGTCTGGTTTAAACTCCATCTGCCATTTCTGTGCCTAAGTCGTCAATCCATCTATATCCTGTTGTATCCTTTCACAATCGTCCGCACTATCAGCAACTCCACCAATCTTTGTGTCATCTGCAAAGTTACTAATCAGACCACCCACATTTTCCTCCAGGTCATTTACATATACTACAAACAACAGAGGACCCAAGACTGATCCCTGTGGAATACCACTAGTTACTGGTCTCCATTCTGAAAAACACCCTTCCACTGCTACCCTCTGTGTTCTATGACAGAGCCAGTTTTGTATCCATCTAGCCAGCCCACCCCAAATCCCATGTGATTATAGATTTTGTACCATTCGGCCACGTGGGACTTTAACAAATGCCATACTAAAGTCCATATAAACTACATCCACAGCTCTTCCCTTATCAATTATCTGTGTCACCTCTTCAAAAAATTCGATCAGGTTGGTGTGACATGACCTCCACCGTACAAAACCATGCCGACTGTCGCTAATTAGTCTATTTTCTTCCAAATGTGTATATATCCTGTCCCTCAGTATCTTCTCCAAGAGCTTCCCCACTACAGATGTCAGACATTCCAGCCTATAATTTCCTGCATTATCCCTGCTTCCTTCCTTAAACAAGGGAACAACTTTGACTAATCCCCAGTCCTCTGGAAACTCACCTGTGGTCAAGGAGGATGTGAAGATATCTGCTAATGCCCCAGTTGTTTCTTCTCTTGCTGCTTGCAGTAACCTGGGATAGATCCCATCTGGCCCTGGGGACTTGTCTACCTTAAAGCAATTTAGGATACCCAAAACATCCGCCTTTAATATACTGACATTCTCTCGAGTATTCACACACTCATCACTGACCTCAACATCAGTCATGTCCTTCTCCTTGGTGAATACCGATACAAAGTACTTTTTAAGGGGGTCTACTCTTTCTTTTGCTACCCTCTTCCTTCTAATATGTGTATAAAAGCCTTGGGTTCTCCTTGACCCTGTTGGCTAAAGACATTTCATGGCCCCTTTTAGCCTTCCTAATTCTGCATTTAAGTTCTTTCCTAATTTCTCTACATTCCTCAAGGGCTTTGTTAGTTTATAGCTGCCTAGACCCATCGTATGCTTCCTTTTTCCTTTTGATTAGGTTTACAATTTCCCTTGTCCAAATGTGCTAGTCTTACTTCCTTAGTAATTGATTCCAATAATTTTCCCACAACAGATGTTAGACTAATTGGCCTACAGATACCTGCTATTGTCTCCCTTCCTTTTTCAATAGAGCCACTGCAGTGGTAGTTTTCCAATCCTCTTATACTTCTACAGAATCCAAGGACTTTTGGAAAATTACAACCAATGCATCCACCATCTCTGTAGCTACTTCTCTTAGTATCCTCAGCTGGAAGCCATCAGGTCTTCTCTAATGACAGTGATAGTACTTAATTCTTCCCCCATATTCTTTAATATTAATGGGATGCTTGAAGTATCTTCCACCTGATGCAAAACACTGACGCAAAATATCTATTTAACTTCTCTGCCATTTCCTTATAACTGTCTCCACAGATTCATTTACTAAGGGGCCTATGTTCACTTTCACCACGTTATTCCTTTTTATATATTCAAAGAAGCTCTTATTGTTAGTCTCCATACTCCTCGTTGTTTATTTTCCCTGTCTTTATTATATGTTTAGTTCTCCTCTGCAGGATTCTGAATTTATCCCAGTCTTCAGGTATATGACTCCCTTTATTCATTTTTCTTCTCTCTACTTAAAACTCTCATTAACTTCCCTGGTTGGTTTATCACTCCCCCCTCAGAATCTTTCCTCCTTACTGGGATAATGTTTCGCTGAGAGTCACGACTTACCTCCTTAAACAACTACCACTGCTTTCTTACTGCAATCTATCCACCCAATCCACTTTAGCTAATTCTATCCTCATTTCATTGTAATTCCCCTTTGGTTAAACACAGTTGTTCCTGATACAAGTTTCTCACTCTCAAACTGGATGTTAAATTCGATGTTATGATCACTACTCCCTAGAGGATTTTTACTGAGATCACTTATTAAACCTGCCTCATTACCCATTACCGGACCCAAGATCTTACATTTTTGCCATTTTCAATCATCCTAACTTTTGTATGTCTGTGGCCCTATTTGCCTCTGCCTTTGATTACCCTGTCCAACATCTTTGTATTTTACTGTTCTCTCTCAGTCCTGCCCTCACTGTAATAGAGGAGGCCTGGACTATTTTATAAAGGTCCAACATAACTTCCTTAGGTTTATTATTTATTACACTCTAAATAAACTTGAGGATTCCCTCTGCCTATTCAACATTTTCCTTCACTGTCCCATTGTCTTCAAAAATTTGTGTATATATGCCCGTCTGTGCACGCTGCACAAAACAACTACAAAATGGTTTTCACAGACACAGATGAATGTAACGTACAAAACCAATTGCACGTTAGAGTGCATTTATTGCAGGGAAGCATCTCACTCAACCTGTTTAGCGCTCAACTCCATTAGGCAAATACAATTATAGAAATACCTGTGTAACCATAAAAGAATTACTAAAAATGAACATCGCTAAAATAAATAAGACTTCCCACACATTCTGCTCTCAACTTTCCCAGAGAGTCTGGCCTAATGGGCACCTCCCTGTTTGAGCAGTAGCTCATGTGAAACTGTCTCTGTTCCAATCCTGGGCTTGCATCCCATTATTCTCAGGTTTGTAGAAAGTCCAGATGGGTCGAGTTCCAAGTATCTACTCCCTTAATGAATTTGAATAGCTTGGCCTCGAAACACTATCAACCCTGTAACTTTCAGTTTGGCATCAGCTGGTTGCCCACTGGGTAATCGAGCTGTATTAGCGTACCATTGTACTCCAGGCTGTGACCTTATGCAGACTCAATTCATTCTCTACAAGGCAAGTCACAGCAAAACCTGGACATGGTAAAATATTGCAAAAGGCACTTGGTAAACTAGTCTTTTGTTCAGCAATACCTACGCGCATCACCTGAAGTTGCATTACAAAATAAAAATATTTTCATAAACTAGGAGGACTATGTGCTATGATTACCGTTTCAATTGCTGCTCGTCCTTTGTTATCTGCTTCATAGCTATGGATGTCAAATGTCAGCAGCTTGTCCGTGTATATTCTCAGAGTGGCAAAACTGCAAGTAAAAATTTATTCCAGTTTAAAAAAGTAGCATATTGCATTTGTGTAATCTGGGCTCCATTATTATAAAACTGTCCACAGAACTCAAAAGTTATCTGGCTTATCCTGCTTGTTAAGGAGATGCTGAGAGGATGTTTCCCCTTGTGGGGGATTGTAGGAGTACAGACAGTTGAAAGATAAGTCTCCCATTTAAGATGAAGATTTGGAGGAACTTCTTCAGGATTTTCTTCCCCAGAGAGCAGCGGCAGCTTGGTCATTCAATATATTCAAGGCCATCTTCAACAGGGTTTTTTTAATCTCATGGTTATTATGGGATGGGAGATGCCAGGCATCTTACCGCATGGCGGAGTCAGTTCAATAGGCAGGGCAGTCTACTCCAGCTCCTTATGTTCACATGTTTTTTTTTTAAAAAAGAAACCAGAGTTTCTCCAGAACTTCAACACAACTTCCATTTCCAAAGATTTTGAAAAGTTTAGTTCTCATTCTAAGACACAATCCAAGACCAAAACCGTATGTACAAAGACATGTATACATATGTACAGAGAGTAAGGTGGTTGGAGAATGACAGACAGATGGCACACATGGATTCTCACCGCACAACTTTAAAGTGCTTTGAAAGTCATAAAGTATCCATGGTGCTTCACAGGAGCATTGTTAAATGAGGTCTAACACTGAGCAACAGGTTGTGATACTTGGGCAGTAGATAAAACAAGAGTCTGAGAAAACTTGGGGGTTGGGAGTGGGGCAGGGAGTGGTGGGGAAAGAGATGAGAGAGAGAGGGGTTCAGGAAGGGAATTCTGCAACTACAGCTAAATATCTTTACTTCTGTACTCAAATTTCCCTTGAAATGAAGGCCAACATTCACCTAACTACTTACTGAACCTACATGATAGTTTTTAGTGACTCATGGACCCACATTTCCCAAACTCTCAGTTTGGTTAAAAAAGACAGGTGGAATATTTCTCAAAGTTAATAACTTCACACTGATTTACATTATGTTCTACTTGCAACACTGTACTCCATTCATTTAGTCACATTCCCCATGTTTAACTGGGAGATCTCTCTGTTAATCCAATACTTGACACTGGATAAGCAGAGGATTTAATGGCTATACAATGTGATGCGAGAGCGGATCGTGAGATAGACACTGGTTTGGGTGGCAAGATGGAACAGTAGTTAGCACTGCTGCCTCACAGTGCCAGGAACGCAGGTTCAATCCCAGACTTGGGCAACTGTCTACATGGGTTTGTGCCCAGTGCTCCAGTTTTTTTGCACAGTCCAGAGATGGGTTAGGTGGATTGGCCATGCTAACTTATGCATAATGTCCAGGGATATGCAGGCTAGGTGGATTACCTATGGCAAATGTCAAGTTATGGGGATAGGGTGGGGAGTTGCACAATGCTCTTCAGAGAGTTGGTGCAGACTTGACAGACTGAATAGCCTCTATATGCACTGCAAGGATTCTACGGAGTTGTGGAAGTGATGCTATGTTTTTAACAAGCCTGGATGAGAATCAGGGCTGTGGGCAGATCTCTGTGGGGCGCCAGAGTTAATATTCTGGCAATGGAAAGAGAAAGCCAATGACTGAGAGTCATTGACTAGTTATGGACACTTATGAATGGAACCAGGCGAGACCAATCCCAGCAGTTGAACAACAGTGGAGACACATTGGAGGAAGACAAAAGCGATCAACTATTGACTAACAAGTTGAAAGAGTAGAGAGGTCAGCTTATCACAGTTATGCAACTGAGAGACATTCTGGTGTGGTGGTGGAAAGGATAATTGGTGGGAAAGACGGGACTGGATTTGGGAACTGGGAGAAGGAAGGAAGATTGGAGGTAGGGCAGCAGTTTGCAGAGTAGAGGGGTGGAGACTGATGACAACGGATTTGAAGGAGAGGGGCACGATGCCTCATGGGAGAGACCATTTGACAGCAAAGGGACATTGGATGTCAGCTGTTTGGGTGAATAAAGGAGAGGGAGCAGGAGTTACATCACATGTGCAGGATGACTATGTCAAGAGGGAGGCATGAGAGACAAAAATATTTACAGGATATACACTGAAAGAACTGCCCCACAATTGCTGATGGATAAGACTGGTTTCTTACCTCCCACTCTTTGCAACATACGTGACCAAGTAACCATTTTCTCCTAAATTCTGAACAGTCTCCGTCATTTTTTGTTCCTGAAAAATGGGCTGCAAGGCTTCAAGAACAGTTCTGCTATCAGCTGGAGGAAAAGTAAATGAAACCTATGTTAACCAGTGACTGCAGCAAGCTCTTAACCAACACTGCAGTTTTGGAGAAGTCACCACACCACCCTGACTCAGACATATAATGTTACTCCCTTTGTTGACACTGCAGTCGCAAGCAATTCAGGGGGTCAGCAAGGCTCAACACTACCCTTAGAGGGCGATAAAGGCCAACTACATTATTAGCCACATTCAGAGATGCAAGTGCAAAATATCCACACAGAACTTGGAGCAGGCCAAGGCAACAAGCACAAAGGAGAGTGGAAAGTCATGGATTAAAAAGAAGCAAGAACCATCCCTAGTAGCCTTAGAGAAGGTAGTCGTGGTGTTGAGCTGCCTTCCTGAATCACCATTTCATTTAGACCATAAAGACATAGGAGTAGTAGGCCATTCAGCCTATCGCAGCTGATCTGAGAACCCTCAAATCTGCTTTCCTTCCATTTGATGTAGGTAGACCCAACAATGATGTTCGAGAGGGAGGTCCAGGATGTTGTTCAAGTGACACTGAAGAAACAGCTGTAGGGCTGCCGGGCTTGGAAATGTATTACTTCTTCCTTTGCTGTGGCTGGGTCAAAACCCCTTCCTAACAGCACTGTAGAACTAGCTTCACAGCGTAAACTATAGAGACTTCACCGACACTTGCTCAAGAGCAATTTAAAGTGCTGCTCTAGTATTGCATGAATAAAATATCAAACAAATAGAGCCTTTCACAAAACTCAAACGTAACAAGGCACTTTATACCAATGAGATAACAAGGTGTAGAGCTGGATGAACACAGCAGGCCAAGCAGCATCAGAGGAGCAGGAAAGCTGATGTTTCGGGTCTGGACCCTTGTTCAGGGTGCTGCTTGGCCTGTTGTGTTCATCCAGCTCTACACCTTGTTATCTCAGATTCTCCAGCAGCAGCAGTTCCCACTATCTCTGAATCAACTTTACACCAATGACCTTATTTTGAAATGAACTTGCTGCTGCACGATAACAAACACAGCAACTGTCTTGCACACAAATTGCCTTAAACAAACAGTGGTGATGACTAGATGAGGTTTAATGCTAGCTTTTTTTGGAGGGGTGCGGACTGTGGGAAGAGTGCGGGGTGCGTGGGTGAGATGGAGGCGGGTGCGTGGGTGAGATGGAGGCGGGTG